CAGTGGCAATGCAAGCTTTCCTGCACAGCATACCTCCCCCCTGTCCCAGAAGACCTCCAGGGATGAAAGGGTAGATCAGACTTAATCCTTAGCTTCTCTAATGAGATGACCGACAAGAGTGCTGACTGTGTGGTGACCTTTATCATGTGGACGCTTGGGAACTGAGATCACCAACTTGCTTCATACAGGACACCAGACAACCTTCAAATGGTAATCACTTTCAGTCTCTACTAATCTGGGGTGATAAAAACCAGTGACCTATCAGTGAAAGACTCTGTGGTCCATAACCAGTCCTGTGAGTGATGCAGAATTTTCCCATCCCTCCATATTTTCATTTAATGTCACCATCCATAAATTGTTTGTTTAGGAGCCTGAAGTCTTCCTAATGCTGTGTTGTTCCAGTTGTTTGTGCAGTGCCTTCCCGTTGTTCCTGTTGAGGTCACTCGCAACATGTGTTTGTTTCTGTTTTCCCCTCTTATGCCACCAAGATATTTGCTGTGATTTTGTCTTTGTTGTTTGTACCTGCTATTACTTCCATTGATAGTGTCTAAATTGAATTCCCATACAAATGCCCTTTGTTTCAAATGATGCTAAGGATGATAGTATTTAGTTTTGCTTTGAAAGATCGTACAGATTGTTCACGTTTTATTTCTATTGAAGTCAATGGAGCTTTATCTGGCTAAACAATGCAGGGTCACCTCTATGTTATGTCAATCACAGCTCAACTTTGGATTTAAAGAGCTCCTGAAAATAGGTGTTGGGGTCTCTTGTACACATAACACCTATTACTTCCGATCCAGTGTGGATCACAATGTTTGTCCTTAAATGTGATCAGAGGGATTTTGTAGACTGAGTCTTTACTAATTCACATTACACCTCTGATAATTAAACATGTCTTGCCTTTGATTTTCAGTAACCTGTAGGAAACACTGAAACATGGTAAAGTTATTTATATTATATATTTTGATTATTCTTTAATTTTTTTAAAGATGGTTTTATAGTAAATTTTGTAATTCTCCTTTTTCTTTTGGATTCAAACACTTCCACATTAAAGGGACATGATCAAGATAAAAAAATCAATTTCAAATAAAATGTTCTCAAGCAAACATTTCTATTCATAGTGAGCCAAAGTTTCAAAAATTGTCTCGGTTTGTACCCATGCAGTTTTGGCCACACGGTCTCTTGCATGTACTATTTTTGAGCACTCTGACATATGTGCACAGATGATATCATTAGAAATATGAGCCCCATTTGTGTGCACAACCGGAGGGCAAATTTCCTAACTGAGATGTAGTCGTATGTGGAAAAGTCCTCCTAGGAAGTGATGGAAGCTCTATTGCTTGGGATCTTTAGGCTAGTCAAAACACTGGCGAATGGACTATAGGGAACAGCCCTGTATTATCTGGGACTGGGTGATCCAACAAGTCTTTTCTATCTCTAGATTTTATGAATCTCCAAAGGGAATTACCGAGGCTGGATGGAAGCCCCTTTACAAATTTGCCCCTCCTTAAATTTGGGACCCAAACTACCCAACACTTTGCCCCTAAAATGTTTATTTTTCATTCTCTTTGCTTGTGATCTCATGGTTAGTCTAGAAGAATCTGTGTGGCTTGTTAAGAACGTGAAAACAGAAACAAGCACTTTGAAATTCCTGTTGTTCTTCAGAGAGCCTCCTGTCTAATGTCCTGCAGAGCTGTGCCGGGGTCCCATGTGTCAAGATAGCAGCTGCCACTTTTCCCCGAGTTAGTTTGATAAGATCATAGAATCAAAAGTTACAGCTGGAGAAGACCTATTTATAACAACAATCAGTGCTGCTACAGCCTCTTTCAACTGAAGTTCTGAAGGCACTTTAGAAGCATTACTCAATTAAGCATCCCTGGACCCCTGAGTTAGGGTAAACCTCATAATTAATACTGTTATTCCTGGTCGTGCCACCAATTCACTGTCTGACGTTGGTCAAGTCAGTAATCCCCGTTTTATAGAAGGGTAAACTGAGGTTTGGTTACTTGATCAAGGTCCCACAGGTAGTTGGTGGCAGAACCACATCATTAAGACTCTCAGTCCCCTGCTTTGATCAGAGTCCCACACAATTCCATCTCCTTGCAGGATCGTTCCCTACAGAATACTCTCTAGGGCTTGGTTCACTTTAATTTTAGATGACTTTAAGCCAGTTCCTTAGCTGGTGTAAATCTGCTGAAGTCAGTGGAGCTGAGCCCGTTTACACCAGCTGAAGATCTGGCCGTTTACCAGCAGCAACAGGGATTGAGTTAAACCTGGTCAAAATGGCATAAGGAGATTGTCTCAGCTGGCAGTATTTCAGCACGTAGTCTGAGAGTTTACTGGCAGAGGGATATTTATAATACTGGTGGTGTTTGTACTGGAGCACACAAAGCACCGTTTACACTGAAAACAAGATTGGGAAACACTAGTCTGTGTGAAAGCAGACTTGTTCCTAGCTTCTGGGAAGGATAAATTATACACAGTTTAACAGATTTTCACCTTTGATCCGTATAACCCATATTTTTAAAAAAGAGGATAGATTTTGTAACAATCTGGAAAAATAACAGATTCTGACTAAGGCGCACTTGGGGACGTTGGAGCCAATGACAAAGAGAGGGGATGAGGATGTACTTATGTGCAGTCATCCAGCAGGATGACACCTCTGACCATAAAATGCTGATGATATTGTGTATACTTTGTTAATAAACCCTTGGCAGGGTTCACACAAAGGCTGGAGTTAACATTTATCACGTATTATTTATAGAGTGCTGTCAGTATGCACATTACAGTGCAATAAGTGACGTCTGAACAGGTCCCCAAACAGACAGTCTGAAGGACCTGAGGCAGAATGATCTAGAAGAATAAGTTTGGGATGCAAATCAGGAAGTCCTGAGTTTTAAATCACACTCTGCCTGTGACCCACTGGGTAGGCTTAGGGAGGTAACTTAGGTATGTCTGCGCTGCAATAAAAGACCCGCAACATGGTTGCAGCTGGCCCAGGTCATCTGATTTGGACTCGCAGGGCTTGGGCTCCGGGACTATAAAATTGCAGTGTAGATGTTCGGGCTCAGGCTGGAGCCCAAGTTCTGAAACCCTGCAAGACAGATGGGGTGGGAGAAGAGGAGGTCTCAGAGACCAGGCTCCAGCTTGAACCAGAATGTCTGCACTGCAATTTTATGGTCCCGCAGCCCGAGCCCTGCAAGCCCAAGTCAGCTGACCTGGTCTCTGAGACTCGGTGCTCTCTTTTTTTATTGGAGTATAAACGTACCCTGAGGGTATGTCTGCACTGTACACTAACCCCTCTGACTCAGGTCTGAGCCCAAGCCTTCCTTCTGTCCACGCACAAATCAGTCTGACTCAGGTCAGCAAGCACTCATGACCTGGGTCCTAGGAACCTGCTAGCAGACTGGGTCAGAGCCTGAGTCCTGCTGTGACTTGGGTCTAGACCCTGTCATTTTACAGTATGGTTGCAGTTACAGTTGGGTCAAGCTGCAGACCCAAGTCATAAGGGCTGCACAGTGCAGTATGGACGTGTTAGCATGGCTGTGAGACCTGGGTCCAGCAATTGTAAGCCCAGGTTTACAATGAAATGTGGATGCTCAAGTGTGGGTTTGGAAACACTGAGTCCACAAGCCCAAGTCCCACTGACCCGGATTTACAATGCATTGTAGACATACCCTTAATGTCTCTGTCCACCCTTGACCAGGCTATTAGGGCCTTACGTAAAAGCGGTGATCTATTTCACCCTTCTGCACTGGAAACTGTAGGTATTTGTGCTGAAGTGAGGCTAGGGTTGTCAGTTTTGGTTGGATGTATTCCTGGAGATTTCATCACATGACATAATCTTTAATTAAAGATTAATCTTTAATTCCTGGAGACTCCAGGCCAATCCTGGAGAGTTGGCAACCTTAAGTGAGGCACCATGAAGTCCTGTGTGCTCTTATCTCATTGGTGCCAGTGATATCATGTCTTATTTTCCAACATGAAATCTGTGACTGGAGGAGATGGTGTGTTAGTAACTTTCAGGACAGATGTGGCAATTTCCTGCAATATCTTTGTGGAGATCTTGCTGTATTAAGTTTATGTATCATTGTGGGCCAAGGATTGTATGTAATACCATGGGAGAGGATGACCTCAGCTCCTCCAGGAACTAAGAACAATGGGGCAGGGTTGGGGTGTGATTAGGAAAATTCACTCAGGTTGTAGCATTTCCAGAGAAGTACCATCCAATGGAGAGGTACACATATATTAGTTCAAACTGGATTCTCCAGAGGCCAACAGACAAAGAAAGGGCTTTTGGATAAATAGCCTGAGTTTAAACTGACTCAGGGCCTTCTTTCTTAGCCAGCAAACAGACAGGACTTTCTGTCAAAGGGGGGCCCTGTTCCTTCCTGGGAAAGATTGGCAGGGTTTTGGCCTAGTGAGGCTCCATAAGACTGGTGGGTGACCTTTGGTAAGCTGTTAGCATGTGCATAGGAACTTGTATTGTTTTTATATGTTTGTTTTCTCTGTAAGGTTCACCTTAAGAATAAATGGGCTTGCTTAGAAAGAGCTGTATGGTAATTCATAACTGCTGGTGATGGCATGGCTCATAGCCTTAGAAGAGAGAGCAAAGCGTTGAGGCTTGCCTGTTTGGCAGTCTGACTTGCTGGTGTTATTACAGTGTAGGCAGGGAACTGTGCAGCCTGGAAAAGCTCCCAGTCAGGAGGGACAGGTCTCTCCTCCAGACAGTTGACAGCTGAAGAGCTGGGAGCCTAGAGTGGGTGAGGGACCTTGAGGGACCACAAAGTGGGAATACAGCTGCAGTTACCCTGAACTGTGACAGTAAGTGCCTCACATTCAGGTTTAAATCAGACATCTAACATCAACAAGGTACTTTAATGGACAGGCTGTGTGGTTTAGGACAGAAGTTTTCCAGCTATGGGGCGTGCCATAAAGCAGGAAGTGTGAAGTGTGAGTGTGTGCCAGCAGAGGTATCAATTGCCTGTCTTTTGGTCCAGGTGTAGTGCTGCCATAGTGGTCCGGAGTGTCGTTCGAGCACCTGAAATCCAGGATGGCACTCACGCCTGACTGATACCTGCTGCACTATGGGACCCCAGGCTGCCACGTGGAATGTTGTGCTCTAGCCCCCCAACCTCCTGGACTACTGAGCTGCCACTTGTCTCTGGGCAGCAGCGCTGGGCGAATTGGGTGTACCAGAAAGAGAACCTTTCCACCACCGCTGGTCTCAGCTGCTGGCGGTCCCACCTTGGCTCCAGCTCCCCCAGCCCTGGGGACCACCACAGTGGTGGCCAGTCCTAGCTACCGGCTTTGCACCCACATCCTGCTGCACCGGACCTACATGGAGCTCACAGTGCTGGTGAACTGGTGATTGCCATGCTCTGACTCCCCTGCTTTGCCCCCTGCCCTGGAACTCCACTGACCCCACCTGTGGGGCACCTGCACTAAAGAAGGGCCCCACTCCCTGCCTGTGAGCCCGGCACCCATGAGCCCATCTCCTCATCCCAGGGCCTGTGAGAACTGGGGATGGGGACAAGGTGTCGAATGCTACTACTTTGTGGAAACAAGCTCACTCCCTCCACTGATAAGGTAGGAGTGGTGGCTACTGACACAACTGGTAATTGTTTGGTGATATGAATTCCCACAACGTCTGGGCAGTGTTATTTAGCTGCTGCTATGTGTGGGCTTTGAACAGAACTGTGAGCTAATGCAGGAGGTGCTTTATGGCTTTATTATAGCTCTATTGCTCAAAGCCCTTCTACTTTATTACTCGTATTCTGTGGAGTGTAGGATGTTCGGTTCCTTGTGTTGCCTTTGGAAGCTATGGGGAGGTGCAATTGCTTTTGTTTCATAGCTTAGGGAGGCTCGCTATGACAACGTTTGAAAACCCCCGCGCTAGGGATGAGGTCATTGGACTGGGTGACAGGAGATCTGGGCTCTTATCTTAGATCTGCCACAGATTCTCACACTGACCTTGGGCAAATGGCTTCCCCACTTTCTGCCTCTGTTTCCTGCCCACTTTTTGTCCTTTTGGCTATTTAGCTTGTAAGCAGGTATGTTTGTACAGTGCACAACTGGGGCCCCCGTCTTGGTTGGGGTTTCTACCTGCTACACAATACAAATCATTACAGTATAGTTCTACAATCAGTTACTTCCTGTTAGAACCTGTGATGCCTCTGCATGAGGTTCTCTTGCCTTATAAACCTTGGATTAGCCTTTTTTTTTTTTAAAGGAAATATATGATTGATCTGACCAAGACATCAGTCATCACTCCATCCCCTCAGCACTTACCTTCAAGCTTAGTTGGGACTGAAATCATTTGTGTTGTTTTGGCAGGGATGCTACAGAATGGAAAGAAGTTTGATTCCTCCAGAGACCGAAACAAGCCTTTCAGGTTCAAGATCGGCAGACAAGAAGTCATTAAAGGATTTGAGGAAGGAGCTGCACAGGTACAGAAGGATGATGCTGGCTGAATTTCAAGTTAGCTGGAGTGCATGCCAGCATGTTCAGTACAATAATGATGGTTTAACATCGGGGTAGGCAAGTCAAAATCACAGTCTATAATCCTGGGTGGTTTTTCTGATGGTGGGATGCATACTAATGTAATATTTCTTAGTCCTCCATTGATTAGCCTAATTGGGATGGCCAGAACTCGGGGGTTGATCATGATGGCGAGGCTTTGCACATGCTTCTCCAGGTGGGCTGTGGAGGATGGAATCCTCTCCTGTCTGTAGATCACTCAGCATCCACAACCACTTGAGCTCCCCCTCTACAAGGTCAGCGGAGGGTTGGCTTATAGATCCACCTCGTCAGTGCAACCCACCCAGCCCCTACAATGATCCAGCATGGTAGTGTGTCATGGAGCAGCATCCGTGCAGTTGCACAGAAGGCCAGTCCTGCTGCATTTGATGCCTCCCACTGAATTTGACCCTCACTGAATAGGATACTGAACTGCACTGTTATGTCCCTATGACATTCCACTCATGACTGCACAATTTAAAGTTCAATGATGAATGTTAAACCAAGGGCAAGGAAAAGGAGGCTGCCCTTAAATCATTAAGGCTTCAGTGTCTGTAGACTGCATGGTCATCCCTCTCTGTCAGTCTCTGAGGGAGGCCACGCCTCCTCGATGTTGCATACCTGTAAAGGTGCTCAAAGGGGGTTAGCTTCACCTAGTGCTCCGTCCTCTGGACGGGCAGAACAGTACAGCAGTCCTTGAGCCCCAGGCCCAGTCAGGGTGGGGCAGCAAAGCAATGAGTGGGCTCTTGCCTGCAATCTGCGCAGTCTATGAGACCCAGTAGGGGTGAGCACTGTAAAGTCTAGATGCTCAGGTAAGGGTGAGCACCCAGAGAGTCTAGGGGCTCACTCAAGGCTGAACATCAATAACAGTCTATGGGGCTCAGACAGGGTTGCCTGAGGAGTGCAGGCCTCCTAGTCTAAGGATGGGGAGTAGTGCCACCCCAGGGGTGCGGTGGCAGGGGGGACGCAGGCCCACCCAACTCTACCACACCCCAGCTCAGGGCCCTAATAGTGGCGCAGTGGTCTGCCACTGGGCCAGTGGGGATCCGCCCGCAACACGCTGACCTTGTATCAGGCCAGCTCCCAACCAGACTGTTGCCTGGTTTCCCTTGGGTGTATCTGCATCTGTCGTCTTGGAGAGCTCTGGCCAGTCCTCAGGAGGCAGCCCTGGCAGCTCCTCTGCAGGCTCCAGCAGCAGGCAGGACGCATCCGAGCCCACTTCCCCTTCTGTCCCGCCCTTCCACTTGCAGCAGGACGGACATGGCTCTCCTGGTTCAGCCCACCATGGGGGTGTGTTGTGGTCTCTCCCTGTCACTCTCTGAGGGAGGCCACGCCTCCTCGCTACAGTGTCATCCCAATAAAACCCCAAATGCCATCTATTTTAATCTAATGCATATTTCCCATAGGCACTTAGCTGTAGTGCTACTCTATGCAAAGAGAGAAGCTGAGCTGTGTTTGATATACAGAGCTAACAAGGCCAGGGTGCAAAGTCACTGCAACCGCACATTTCTGGGTCCCAAAGCTCAGACTGGATGAAGGTTTTGCTCAGAGCTTGTTACTAATGCATAAAACGAGGTGGGGGAAAAGGGCAAATAAGAAACAATCCAGATGCTAGTACAATCCTACTACTGTGCTGTTTCAGATATGAATGGACAAGAATCCGGTTCCTAACCACATTATGCCCAGCTCTTGAATCATAAATGCTTTGAGGGTACGAGTTCATTCTAGGAATCCCAGAGTATTTTTAAGAATGTTCAGTTCCTCCCCACCATTCAAGTTGCATTCCTTATTAATAGTAGTAAAATGTATTATTTGTATTATGGTAGAACCTAGAGATGAGATCAGGATCCCCCTGTACCAGGTTCTGTACAAACATAGAATAAGCAATGGTCCCTGAAGAACTAACTAGACCAGCGGTTCTCAAACTGTGGTTCACGACCCCATGTTAATGGAGTCCCCAGGGCTGGCTTACACTTGCTGGGGCCTGGGGCTGAAGCTGAAGCCCGAGCACCACTGCCTGGAGCTGAAGGCTGAGGGCATTAGTCCTGGGCATCGGGACTCAGATTACAGTCCCCTGCCTGGGACTGAAGCCCTTGGGCTTTGGCTTTGCCCCTCCTCCCCACTTGGGGCTCGGGCTTGCTCAGGCTTCAGTCCCCCCTCCTGGGATCATGTAGTAGTTTTTATTGTCGAAAGGGGGTCACGACGCAATGAGGTTTGAGAACCCCTGAACTAGACAAATCAGCAAATGGTTGGAGGGGAGGGATATAACACACAGAGTGAATAACGTGGTGGTTTGCAAATGTTCTGTAAGTGCCATGCTTTTTGTTTAGTGATGTAGATGTTGGCACAGAGAGACGAGATGTGTATATGCTTAGTCCTGGGACTAGTATGAAAAATCATGAGGGGTCTCAAAAATAGCATGAATTTGATAGACCATTTAATGTCAAAAAGGGGAACAGATTTATCCCTGTTAGAAGCCGACTCAGCTAAAGCTCTGGCAGTGATTCCACATAAGTCAATTTATAGCCTCCCAGAACACCCCGATTACCTTCCCTAAATTAATTATGTAGCCTAAATCCTTTCCAATAATCTGCCTAGAAACAAATTACCCTCTAGCTCCGCCTAGTGGATTGTCACACTAGGACTTAATAATAATTACTGAACACTTTGACAACACCTTCCATCTCAAGATCTCAAAGTGCCTTGGGAACATGAACTCATTAACCCTTGGAACACACTTATGAGGGAGGTTGGTAGCATTATCCCCATTGGATAGATGGAGAAACAGGGAGAGAGAGGTTAATGGGCTGAACATTGAAGACAATGATGTCAATGAAAATGGGAGATGCAAAGCACTCTGGAAATCACATGATGGCTTCAGCAAAGCTCTTCTTCACATGCGTCCCAGTCAATTTGAGCACATGCTTACGTGCCTTACTGAGCTGGGGCCTTTCTGAATCCAGAGCCTTGATCCTGTTAGGTGTTGAGAGCCTCTTGTGACTTGTCAGGTGTCCGTAATTCCCATTGCAGTCAGCAGATTTTGTGAGAGCTCTGCAGCTCACAGGAGGCCTTAATAAAGAAACAATGTGGACCTACACTGGTGCAAAAGGGTATTCCGTTGGGTTACAAAACTGGCACTAGAGGATTATTACATGTTGCCAATAAGAGGCCGTTATCCGGTGGTAAAAGAACAGGACTAGGAGCCAGGAGATCTGAGGCTAAATTGTTGGGACCAGATTTACACAGGTATTTGGGGCCTAAAGATGTAAATAGGCACTTAGCGAGATTTACAAAAGCATCAAGTGAGTTAGGGGTCAAACTCTCACTGACTTTGCAAATCTGCCCCTTAGTGACTGGACTATTGTATTTCTCCTAACACATTCTTTCCCCTTCTCCCTCTCCCTCTCCAACACTCAAATGCTAGATGAGCTTAGGACAAAGAGCAAAGCTGACCTGTACGCCCGACATGGCGTACGGAGCCACAGGCCATCCTGGAGTCATCCCTCCCAATGCTACCCTCATCTTTGACGTGGAGCTGCTCAGGTTAGAGTAAAGCCTTTCATGGGAGCCGGGTGAAGACATCTGCTGATAATCATCCATTCTTTTCCCCTTCCCTACGGTAAGAGGAGGCCGCACTGGAGTCGCAATCTTCCCTGCTTCAGCTGCCATGCCAATAGCACCTGCCCTTAGGTTGTTTATTCCTTTCCCTCTTCTTTAAAGTTGTTGTGTCCATATTTGTCTTCTATTAGAAGCTTCTTTGCTCTGAGAAAAATTTCCCCCGTTGTAACATTTTTGAGTTGTACATTTCATTTAATTTGCATGTGATTAAAATTCACAATGATCATTAAATATATATATATATATATATATGTATATATATATATTCCTTATGGAAAAACCACTGCCTTACTGTACACAAACTGAGACAAACAAAAGGTGCTCAGAAATCAAATGTACACCTCGTACATGAAGGGGCATTAGCCAAACGGAGTTACCTGCGTTGCCACTTTTTTCTCAACTTGTGCGTGCTTGCTCGCTGCTGTTTTAAACAAATGTCTCATTTGAAAATTTAAAAAAATATGGAAACAATAAAATCTTGATACTTTACCATTTCTGCCTTGTTTCTTGTCCTTCACTGTTAACGTAGCTGGGCATTTTTTCTAATATAAAAGTTCTTCTAGGAACTACTGATCTTCCGGTTTGTTACTGATTTCTTGAATAAAATATGCCTAGGGCATGTTACAATACTGTTAAAAATTACAAACCGAAATGGTGTCACTGCGGGAACCTGTGGGCTCAAAAAGAAACAGGTCCAGGTTATAATGAATATAAAGTGGATTCTTTGAGGCTGCTGGACAGTCTTTCTGCTTGCTCTGGCTCTCCAGCTCCCAGACCAATCAAACAGAATCTGTGCTGCTCAGTACCCCTCAGTCCTGGTCATAGAAGAGACCACTGACCATGGGTTGGATTTTTCAAAAGCACTCAGCTTTTTCAGTGGGAGCCAGGTTTCAGTGGGAGCCAGGCAACTAAATACCTTTGAGAAGCTAATGTGTCAGCCTAATTCTACTCCTATTGAAGTCTGTGGGAGTTTTACTGCCGATTTCAGTGGGAGCTGAGTTAGGCCAATGCTGAGTGTTTTTGAAAATCCGCATGGAGATGCCTGACCACCAAATCCCCAGGGCCTCAGGATTACTGGAAGAACTCGCTGGAAACCTGCATGTCTTTATGAAGCACTCTGTGGTTTAGCCTTTACCACCAGACTTCTCCCCTTGGACTACCTACAGAAAGCTCCAAAATACCACAAAGTAATCAGACTAGCTGCCCACTCCAGCTCCTAAGTAGTTAACCTAATCCATGTTCAATCCATTCTTCCTTGAGCCCTCCCCCTTCCCCAGTGACATGTTCACCTCCAAACCAGCTAACAGTGACACATACCCCGACCCCATCCCATCGCACAAGTCACTATCCAACAGCTCCATCTACATGCTACTGTTTGTCCCTTTCCTGCCCATCCCCAAGGTGGCACTCTTCAGAAAGAGGTCTTGCTGTTTGGTTTCATCTTGCTAATAATGTAGAACACTACTAAGGCTGAGAAAAGAAATAATAACTTCATCAAAACTAATCCAATTCAATATGACACAATTCCAGGCAAAGGCGACCAGCTGACAGGTCTGCCTAAGCCTTCCATACACTGGGGTCACAGCACTTTACTAACAATAATTATATGTCATAACATCCCAGTGCAAGTGGGTTTGGGTAAACTGAGGCATGGAGCACTTGTCACTTGCCCAAATCAGCAATAGCCTCCCCCACGCCCCAGGAATTTTAACCCTGTCTAACTGCCTTCCTCATATAATTATTCTGCCTCATCCAGAACTAATTCCTGGTATGCTGGGCTTGATGGGTAATGTCACTAGCGTCTTATTGTTAGTGGCACAAACAGCCATATTTTTTTATGGAACAGCAAAGGGAATGGGCATTGTTAAGGTGTTGGTGTTTAGTCTTATTTTCAAAACATACTCAAAAAAACCTGTACATATTTTCAACTATACTGCCGGATTTTTAACAGAAGAACTTACTACAATGGATAGTGGTGGGGTTTGGTTTTGTGTGCATGCATGTGTGTGGTTCTTTATAAGAAAATTAAAATTAGACTGGAATTTTGAATGTCAAATAACCCAGACTACAAGACTAGAAAGAAAACAACCATGGGCTGATAACGCCAGGTGAATGAATATAAAACCAGCATGAAAAATCAAACTTTGCAATCTGTGCACCAGCCCCTACAAATCTCTTTCTTTTCCTCAAAAGAATGGCCACACTGGGTCAGACCAAAGGTCCATCTAGCCCAATATTTTGTCTTCCAACAGTGGCCAGTGCCAGGTGCCCCAGAGGGAATGAACAGAACAGGTAACCATCAAAAGTGATCCATTCCCTGTCACCGATTCTCAGCTTGTGGCAATCAGAGGCTAGGGACACCATCCCTGCCCATCCTGGCTAATAGCCATTGATGGACCTAGCCCATGAATTTATGTCGTTCTTCTTTGAACCCTGTTATAGTCTTGGTCCTCACACCATCCTCTGGCAAGGAGTTCCACAGATTGACTGTGTGTTGTGTGAAAAAACACTTCCTTTTGTTTGTTTTAAACCTGCTGCCTATTAATTTCATTTGGTGATCCCTTAGTTCTTCCTTATTTACTTTCTCCACACCAGTCATGATTTTATAGACCTCTAGCATATCCCACCTTAGTCATCTCATTTCCAAGATGAAAAGTCCTAGTCATTAATCTCCCTTCATATGGAAGCTGTTCCATATCCCCAGTCATTTTTGTTGCCCTTTTCCGAACCTTTTCCAATTTCAATATATCTTTCTTGAGATGGGGGCGACCCCATCTGCTCGCCATATTCAAGATGTGGGTGTGCCATGGATTTATATAGAGACAATATGATCTTTTCTGTCTTATTATCTATCCCTTTCTTAATGAGTCCCAACATTCTGTTCGCTTTTTTTGACTGCCACTGCACATTGAGTGGATGTTTTCAGAGAACAATCCACAATGACTCCAAGATCTCTTTCTTGAGTGCTAACAGCTAATTTAGACCCCATCATTTTGTATGTATAGTTGGGATTATGTTTTCCAATGTGCATTACTTTGCATTTATCAACATTGAATTTCATCTGCCATTTTGTTGCCCAGTCACCCAGTTTTGTGAGATCCCTTTGCAGTCTGCTTTGGACTTAATTATCTTGAGTAGTTTTCTATCATCTGCAAATTTTGCCACTTCACTGTTTACTCCTTTTTCCAGACCATTTATTAATATGTTGAATAGGACTGGTCCCAGTACAGACCCTTGGGGGACACCACTATTACCTCTTGCCATTCTGAAATCTGACCATTTATTTCCTACCCTTTGTTTCCTATCTTTTAACCAGTTACTGATCCATGAGAGGACTTTCCCTCTTATCCCATGACAGCTTACTTTGCTTAAGAGCCTTTGGTGAGGGATCTTGTCAAAGGCTTTCTGAAAAATCTAAGTACAATATATCCACTGGATCCCCCTTGTCCACATGCTTGTGGACCCCCTCAAAGAATTCTAGTAGATTGGTGAGGCATGATTTTCCTTTACAAAAACCATGTTGACTCTTCCCCAACAAATCATATTCATCTGTGTGTCTGACAAGTCTGTTCTTTACTATCGTTTCAACCAATTATTTACTATCATTGTTCGAGAGACCTTCCGTGGAGCAGCAGCAGTAACGGTACAGGGTGCACCTGGGGATGTCTCAGGAGCAGAGAGAGGATTTTCTTTCTACTATAGTTTCAACCAATTCTGTTCTTTACTAAAGTTTCAACCAGTTTGCCTGATCCTGAAGTCAGGCTTACCAGCCTGTAATTGCCGGGATCACCTCTGGAGACCTTTTTAAAAATTGGCGTCACATTAGCTATCCTCCAGTCATTTGGTACAGAAGCTGATTTAAATGGTAGGTTACATACCACAGTTAGGAGTTACGTACCACAGTTAGGAGTTCTGCATCAGTATTTGTTTTAGCCACAATGCTATGTTCTTGTTTAAGATTATTTTTAAAAACCAAAACCCACCTTTCTTCCATCACTTAGTGTCCATTGTTATTCTTTAATGTTTGGTATGAATAAAACATTTCACAGCTGACTACCCTGCCCACAGCCCCAAGCTAACTGTGACAATGTTTAAAGACAGCTGTAGATGGAGAAATTCTACTATGATTGGTAATCATGTAATTACAGTGGTGCCTTAGGGCCACCCAAGAATGGAGCCCCATTGTGCAAACACAGAAGAGTAGCTGGGTGCTGCCCCAAGCAGTTTATGGTCTATATAGCCAAGCCAGACAGAGGGTATGGGAAGACGTCTAACACACAAGCAGCATGAACAATGTGATGGCGGTAAATGTTGTATCAGTTCCGCTTATTTCATTTATTTATTTTTTAGTGGGTTTAGCTAGGAGGGGCTCAGTAAAGTGGAGTAAGGGGGACAGGGCAGGGGAAAAGAGAGTGAGAGGGGCAGGTGTGGAGTGAAGCTGAGATGAAGCGACTGTGAGGGAGGAGGACGTTGGAGCAAACAGCCAATCAGCACAAAGCAGAGAAAGTCCAGTCAAAACTATAGCAAGTTCTCTGAATGTCCAGAGGTGGGGGGGGGGAAGGGGTGTGTGTGTGTGTGTGTGCGTGCGTGCGTGCACGCGTATGTACACGGGACTGCAGTTCTTGTATCTTCTAATCTCGTTTCTCCGCTTCTGCAGACAGGCTTCTTTTTGTCTGATTCAAAACAAATTCTTTTGCACTAACAGCACTGCTGCAGCTCGATCGTACATTTATGGCACTGAGAAACATGCAGACAAATTTTTCAGAAGCGTTCACTAACTCTGAGTGCATCCATTTTGAGTGCGTCCATCTTAGGCTTTGTCCACACTACAGAGTTTTGTTGACACAAGTTAAGCCAACATACAGCCACCGCTTTAATTAAACGACCGTTGCATGGCCACACTATGCGCCTTGTGTCAGCAGAGCGCATCCACTCTAGCAATTCTTGCAGCGACACAGAGAGCAGTGCACTGTGGGTAGCTATCCCACTGTGCAACTGGCTACCGGGTGCTTTGGGAAGGGTTTGCAATGCCTCATGGGGCAGGTACAGCGTCACATGATGCAGGTTTCCCAATCCCATTGTTCCATGGGCATCCTACTAGATTGCCAGCCGCTTTTCAACTGAAGTGTGGAGGAGGAGGCTGTCTGACAGGGAGGGTGGGCGGGGGGAGTGGGGAGAGACACAGACAGATTGTGTGTTGCTGTAGTGTGTGAGAGAGTGCGGGGGGAGTACGTATATGAGAGAGACAGAGCGTGTGTCGGCTAGGGTTGCCAACTTTCTAATCACACAAAACCGAACACCCCTGCCCCACCCCTACCCTGAGGCCCCACCCCTGCTTGCTCCATCCCTCCTCCCTCTGTCGCTCGCTCTCCTCCACGCTCACGCACTTTCACTGAGCTGGGGCAGAGGGTTGGGGTATGGGGGGAGATGAGGCCTCTGGCTGGGGGTGCAGGCTTTGGGATAGGGCCAGGGATGAGGGGTTTGGGTGTGGGAT